TTGTCTCCTGTGTTAACCAGGGTGCACATGCCCTGTGTCCGGCACACAGCTAGTGGCTGAAGAGTATATTGCAAGCAACATCTCATTACATCCCCCAAAGCAAGGTAGGATGCCCCGGCCCTCATTTCTGGTTTTGGAAGCCAGGCCCTGGAAATTGCGGGGAGTCAATGCCCAAGCCCCAATTGGCTCAGTGCCAGGTATGCTACAGCAGTGAGGGAACCAGCAAGCCCCAGAACAACAGCCCTCCCCGCAAAGTATACCACAAGTCAAGGCGGCCAAACACACCCGGCTCCTGTAGCAGTTTTCCTGGGTTTGATGCTCCCCCTTTTCCCCCGAAAGTGCAGCAGTTTGGCTCCCGGGCGAGGAGCAGAGCATGAGAATAGCCCTTAGGAGGAGTGAGGGCCTGACCACAGGGGCTGGATGTCCAGCCTGGTGGAGGGAGGGGCCTGCAATGGGAAGATTGGGGAGAGGGGCTGAACTCACGAGAGTGGAGGATCTGGACCAGTTGCCCAGAATCGGGCTGGGGAGCATGATCAGGCCAAGGCTGGGAGCAGCTACTCCTAGTGAGAATGAGAGATGCTTGCCCCCGCCCCCGTATCTCCTGCCTATCTATGACATGCTGCCTAGCCCCAAGGCCCCATGACCCTGCACCCCCCCCCCGGCCAGGGTCCCCCTGGGGACCGTGTTCAGTGCCGTGTGCAGTACATTTGGTTTCACACCCCTCCCCTCCCCAACCCCTTCAGTCACCTCTGCCCTCAGCACCACCCCAAACTGAGCTGCAGGCAGCTGGAAGGCGAGTCCAGCCCCCGGCCGAAGGGAGGGTCAGTCTGCCCTGCTGTGGAAACCAATCTAGAGGCCTGTCCCCATACCCGCATCTGTCATCGGGGTTGTTGTCAGCCCCTTAAAAACTACCCAGCTAGGCTGTGGGGGTGTAAACAAGCAGGGTATTTATTAAAACCACCAACCGTTGGCAGCACGGGGAAGCCGAGGTGAACCAAAGGACTCGGAACCGGTGCTATACGGTGAGTAAAGGCCCGGCAGGGTGCGGTGACGGTGGGTACGCTCCCTCCCCTAGGATGGGGCCCAGGGACGAGGATGGAGGCTCCATGGACCACGTCCCCGCCCTGCAGCTGCGAGGCCCCTCGCGACGCCAGGACAGCTCCGGCCTCGGCCAGGAAGGTGGAACCCCCAGGTGCGGAGGGACCTCGGGGTCAGGCGCTGACGGCTCTGCCCCAGCAATGACTTGGGGGGGAGGGGGTGGGGGGCGAACGAGTGCAGTGCTCAGCATACTCCTCTGAGGTGCCCGCTGTGCTCGCCCATGGCTGCAGCAGCCGGCCCACACCGCCAGACTCTGCCACTCCAAAGGGCAGCCCCTTCCCTCCGCTGTGCCGGCCGTTACTGCGCAGATCACAGGGCACGTCGTCCCGCCTTTCGGTAGAGAGGGCGGGAACCTACTCCGGAGGGCAGCCGAGATGGATGCCCAGTTGTTTGGGCATTTCAAGATGGTGCACCGAAGGTTTCCCCTACGCCGCCACCCTCCCCCACGCCCTGGGCCTGAACCGCTTTCCGTCAGGCCATCACCTTCGCAACCAGTCAGCACCTGCTCTGGCGGCTTTGGCGTCTAGCCTGCCTGGGTTGGAAGCTGTGACCTCAGTGCTTCCTGCTCCGTGCCCTGCCTCAGCCCAGCGTGTCTTTGGGCAGCGCTTTGGGCTCATTCAGGACAACGGGTGCGCTCGCAGTGGGCATGTTTGTTACTGGCTCTAGTGCGCGGGTGGGCAGAGTGTGCCCCGGTCCCGTCCCCTGCCCTGTGTGCCAGCCTGCCCTGCTTTCGCGGGCTCAGGGCTGAAGAATGCACCATTAGGAACCATGCAGCACCCGCTCCTGTCCCATGGTGCCTCCTGGGCTCCAGCTGCTGTGACCTCACACAAGGGCTCCCCCTGCTGGCTGTGGCAAGCATGACTGCAGCCCGGGTCTGGGGGGGTGCCCGAGAGTGGGTTCTGCAGGTGGGTGGGGGCAAAGCAGCCGCAGTGGCAGCAGCGTGCATTCAGTGAGCTAGGCCCTGACATCCACCACGGCCTTGGCCCATCGCATTAACAGCACCGCGGAACCTGCCGCCCAGCCCCACAACTGGCAGCTGCCGTGGCAATGTCCCATGTACAGTCTGAGCCAGCCCCTCCACCTCCCCACCGCCCAGCTCCCACCTGCATCACAGCGGAGATTCCTGCCGCCTTCCCTTCAGCACACCCTGCTGCTTGGCCACAAGCACGCTGGCTGTGGGGCACGCCAAAACATTAAAAAAAACCCAAATCCCCCAAAGCACTTACCAGGCTGGGCTCCTGTGCGGGGCACATGGCAGGCTTAGTGTGCCACCCCGTGCCATGGCTTCAGCAGCACCCGATTAGCTGTACCTTAGATTGTGGGGGGGGGGGGGGAGCCACACGGTGGGGTAGTCCTAGCCCCCGGGGGCTCTTTTCACTGAGGGTGGCATGTGAGTTCTGCAGCAGAGAGGTGCTGCTCCCAGCTTGTGCCCCGGGGGCAGGGAGTCAGGGTTTTGTTTACAAACAGCTAAGAAAGGGCTGGTAAGTAAATTAAGGTTTCAGAGTAACAGCCCTGTTAGTCTGTATTCGCAAAAAGAAAAGGAGGACTTGTGGCACCTTAGAGACTAACCAATTTAAGCAAAAGAATGAGTCAGAGGAGAGGAGAGCACGTAACCCCCAAGGGTGGCAGGTGCTACCCCAGGCTGGGTTGTACAGCAATGGCTGCTGTCAGCACATTTAACTGAAAACCATTTTGTTTTGTCATGTTTTTGTTCGGCGTTCAAGAAAAGGAAGGAATTAGAAAGCGCCATGTGAGTATCAGATGTGATTATACATCAAATTCTTCGGGTTTCAGCTGTAATTCAAGCCAATTCCAGAACAAAGCACAGAACTTGCATCCAGAAAGTCCATAGCGTGGACGATTATTGTCATGATTTGTATTATTCACTGGACCCCATCTGTGTGCTCAGCACAGACGCCAGAAAATGTAGTCACTGAGCCAGTGTGCATAAAGCGTGGGGGAGCCCTGGCTAAGATGGCTCAGATATTTACGTATGAAGTGTCCGGCTATTAAGCACGTTCATATATACGAGTAGAGGTGCTGATGGCAACAGTTTTACCTGATTAAGGACTAGAAGAATTAACCCTCCAACTCTTTTTCAAGAGGCAGAGCTGCCCAGAGCTCCCGTGCCTCTTCAGAGCAGCGGCCGGGTTCGTCTGTATCTGCAAAAAGAAAAGGAGGACTTGTGGCACCTTAGAGACCAACAAATTTATTTGAGCATAAGCTTTCGTGGGCTACAGCTCACTTCATCAGATGCAACTTCATCTCTAGGGTGCCACAAGTCCTCCTTTTCTTTTTGTGTGCCTGTTTAGTTTCCTTTCCTGCCTGCAGTAGCCCTGATATACCTCAGAAAACGAAATTTTTTCCTTAACTTTAAAATGTGAAATTTTCTTGCTGCTTGGTTTGAAATATTCTCCTGTGAGACCTGCTGGCGGGAGGGGGCCGGTGAAAGTAAAGGCTGGTTTGTGCACCCCCTCAACTCCTCAGGCGGCAGAGACCGTTTACACTACCAACACGTCCAGCGCGGATGAGCAGCGCTGTAGGGCAGCTCTCGCGGGACGGGGGTGAGCAGAAGGCATCCTGGGTCCCTGCTCAGTGCCCCCTGCTGCCCTGCGTCATATCTCAGGAGCCCCATTACTTCCTGGTTCCTTCCTTGACATTATTTTTAAAACCCTCCTGCTGTCCAGCTCCTTTCCCCGGAAAGGGAGCGTCAAACTTCCCAGGGCTTACAGGGGGAGGGGCGGACGTCCACACGTCCGAGCAGCGGAGAGGCTGGACAGAGTGGTCACTTTTGAAACTGTGTGATATCCTTTGGAGGCCAAAGGGCATTTACGGTGGTGGACCGTGTCTTCACTTTCACAGCAGTGCAAAAAGAACAACGGTAAGAGCAGAACCCCTCTCGTGAAGGTGGTTTTCTTGTTGCCGTGAAAGTTCTGAGTTTCACCGCAAAAAATCATTAACAAGTGTAGGTTTCAGAGTAACAGCCGTGTTAGTCTGTACTCCTTTTCTATTAACAAGTGTAGACGCTTCCGGGGTTTTAGCACAGAAAAGAGACTTTTTGCGCTTTAAATGGTAAATGTAGACATACCCTAAGGGTCTTCTGGAGAGTCACTAGGCTTTAAACAGAAGTGACAGCAGGTTTGCCAACTCTCATGAGTCTCAGGAAAATTATTGTTTTCCTTAAAGCCCCAGCTCCTGGAGTCAAGTGACGTGATGATTTCAGCCTTCATTCTTAAAGGAAAAGGAAGTTTCTAGCCCTTGTGGCTGTGGAGACAGCATCCAAACATGACCCCTGGGCACCCTAAGGGCTCACAAAGTGGAAGGCCAATAACAAGAACCCAAATCTAGTGTAGTTACATGATCTCATGGTTTCAAGCCAATCTCCTGATTTTGGTGACCCTGACTCGTGATTTTTGAACATGTGGGGTTGGCAATACTGTGAAAGTGATTTGAAAGGGTCAAGTTTCACTCCTGTCTAAAGCCAGTTTCTCGTCTGTTATTTGTAGTGGGGTGACACCCCTAGAGCCCCAGGCAGGCGCCGTATACAATCAGGGGCCTTGCCCTAGTAGGATGTTTCCAAAAGTTCAATGATCTGTTCCAAGCTTGCTGAACTGCAAAAAGCGAGTAGCCGAAGGGACAGAAAGTAACCCAGACGTCTCTACACCTGTTTCCAGTGCCGCAGTGCGGAGTAAGCTCCTACACTGCAATTTCAAACCTAACCCAGGTCCCTTAAATGACTTGACACAAGACGTCAGTACATGTTAGTATTAGAGCTGAATGGGTCTAATATTTATTGACTATTTCCTTTATATAGGAACTGGAATCAGTGCTCCTGTCAGCCAATTGCTAAGTTGTTATCTGCTAACAATTGGAGTTTTCAGGTGTCTAAGTAGCCTCTGGAATCATGGTTAAAATTGTGCCCTTCCTCCAATCTGAAGTGGTGCCTTTAGATAAGTGCACGTGGGCCTGAACTATTCAGCTTCGGCCAGCAAGTCATGGACTAGGAAGTCATTGCCATGTGTTTTCATAGAATCAGAATATAAGGGTTGGAAGGGACCTCAGGTGCTCATTGAGTCCAATCCCCTGATCAAATCAGGCCCAATCCCCAATTTTTGCCCCAGATCCCTAAATGTCCCCCTCAAGGATTGAACTCACAACCCTGGGTTTTGCAGGCCAATGCTCAAACCACTGAGCTATTCCTCCCCCATCCCTGCTACAGGGGGCCAGGCCGAGGCCTCATACAGCAGTTACAGTCCACACAGCAGCCCTTAAAACAGCTGCATGAAAGTTCATTTTGTCAGGGGAAGCGAGGAGCTGGAGGAGCTCATACCTTACCATCCGCACAGCACCAGCAATCCACGCTCCATGCCCTGGCTCCGCATTGATCACCCCATTGTCCCTCCAAAAGAATATTGGCAGACAGTTCCGCAGGAAGAAAGGAAGCTCAGGGTTGGTGCTGTCACTGGGGTGGGGCGAGGTGGAGCGGGAGGGAGCTATGTGGTTCTGTCTGGCTACCACTGACACAGCCAGGCCCGCTGGCCAAAGAGCTGCCCTGAGTGTGCTGCGGCTGCTGGGAACCAGATCTCACCAACGCAGCAGCCAGAGCTGCTCCCCCCCAGGCACGTCAATTTCATAAATCTGCTAACAGGAAATGAACCCATTGTTTGGTTCAACTGAAGGTTTTCACAAAATATTTTATTTTGTTGAGAAATTTTCAAACATAATTTTTGAAAATTTCCCCCCAAACTGGTTGGGGTGAAGGGAGAGAAAAGCCATGTCCCCTGGCTTCCTGCTCTACCCCTCATTGGTTCCATCAGCAAACAAGAGGGGAAGGTTGGGGGGAGGGGCAGTGGCAGCAACGGGGATTTTTTTTCCCCACCCCCATGAACTAAAACATTTAAAAAAATGTTTAATAAAATAATGAAACATTTTGACCAAAAGTCTCATGTTTGGTTTGGTTGAAAAGGCTGCAACGTTTTGTAAAAGAAAGTTTTGTTGAAAACATTTTGCCCCTCGCCTCAACATGGGCCTAAAACTAAAACCAGCTGGCCAAACGGTCACAGCTAAGGAATGTGTTTGGGGGGCTATGGAGCCCTGTTTGCATCTGCTCTGGAGCCTGCAGCATGTGCTCAGTCCCTGCAGACTTTCCCCAGTAGGGATTGTCTCCACACAAACCCTTGTGCACCTGACCTGAGCTCCTTTGGGTGCTACAGCACTCAGCAGTGGACGCTTTAGGGTAGGGGGGTGAGCAGATCACCTCTCCCCCCACTCTCTGTCCCCATCACATCTGCAACCGCAGCACCCCCCTGCACTGCCCCGCATCAGCACCATAAGCCAGCTCTGGGATTCACATTTAAATAAGGACCACAACCACGCTCAGGTCATCCCCATTCTCATCTGCTCTGGAGCCAGCAGCATGTGTTCAATCCCTGAGAAGTTGGGGCACAGGTGCCCAGAAGGATGACACAGTGGAACCCCTGGCACCAGGAGAGGCGAGGTGGTGGTGGGAGGGTCCCCTCTGCACACAGAGCCCATTTCAGGTGGCGATGGGGAACCAGTTCCCAACCCGCCCCCACTCTACGCCCAGAGCAGAGGGAGCACCCCCTGGAGGTGGCGGGCAGCATGTCTCACATGAGGCTGCACCTGGTTGTGCGCAGCGCCCCCTGGAGGCGCATAGTGGAGTGGTGGTGTTTGCAGCCCCAGGCCAGCACACTGCTCAGCATCTCCTTGAAGAGCAGGACAATGTGCCCATTGTACTTGGCAGAGCACTCCATGGAGCCGCACTTCCAGCTCTTCTTCACCAGCACCGAGAGTGTCCGACGCGGCATGAAGCGCTGCTTCTGCTGGTCCCGCTTCTTCCCCACCACGATGATGGGGGCCTCCTGGGTGCCACCTGCCCTGTGGGAGAAAGGACCCATAGATCAGGGAGTGCTGCAAGGGGCAGGAGCAGTCTGAGAGACGCCTCATGGGGAGTGACCGACTGCCCCAAGCAAAAGCTGTGGCCAGCCCTGGCGAGGGGGAGGAGAGGACTTCCAGTAGCCAGTGTAAACTGTGCTAGGTGCCTGCCCACTCTCATCCCCAGCTGGCCTCAGCACCAGCCGTGATGTGCTGGTCTTTACACAACCGCCCTCATCTGACTCTAGCTTGTTGTCCAAACAGAGCCACCTCCCCTCCTGGAGCCAGAGTTTCTCTCCTCTTCCCTCCAGCCAGGATGGTGAACTAGGAGTATCTGCACCCCCCATAAATTGCGGGACCCACCTGTGATCCCCCAGCACCCAAAGTGAATGAGTTAATTCTGACATCTGAGTCTCGGCCCACGGCCAGCCTGACCAAGGAGATGGATCTGCCCTGGAGCTAGATGCAGACAAGGGAGGTTTGGCCAGGTCTCTGGCTGCAGAGATCAGAAGCCTCTGAGTTTAGGGCTGGTGGCATCACCCCAGGAAGAGGATCCCCGGCGCTTATTTTGTGCCAGGGCTTCCCAGCACTTTTAAGCTTAGCAGTTCATAGCCATGGCACTGCTGGGCTCCCAGCCAGCAACCGCCGCTCTCCAGCCACCCAGCTCTGAAGGCAGCAGAGCCAGGAGCACTGGGAAGTGGCAAGCGAGTGCCTTGAGGAACTTCTCCTGGCAGCCAGGCTCTACAGGCAGGGACCAGCTCCAGAGGGCATTGCTGGCCAGTACCAGGCTCCTATGGGAGCGCGCTGGGGCAGAGCTCAGAGCTGTGTTGCCACCTGGCCTGGGGTGCGCCCACCTGTGCAGCGGCAGCTGGCTTGGGGAGCAGGTGTTGGCTTCCTCTGGGCTCCGGGGGTGCTCAGTACCCTGCTCTGCCCCCGTCCTTCCGGAAGCTCCCCACCCCCCCTCTCCCCCCTCTTCTTGCCCCTTCCCACCCAGTTCCACCCACTCCCCCAGGTGCGCCCCAGCCCTGCTCCTCTCCTCTCCAGCATGCCACAAAACAGCTGATCACAGCAGGTGCTGGGGGGGTGGGGGCTGCCGGTGGGGGAGTTGGGCAGGGAGGGCAGCCAGGCAGCACCCCAGCTCCCGCGGTGCAGAGAACCAGGGGCCAGAGTAGCTCCCACCAGCTTCCCACTGGTTTCTGACAGGAGACGACAGTTTGAAGCGGAGGGGAGGCTTGTGGGGGGCATGCAGAGTGACATGCCTCCCCCGATTGCTTGGGCGCATGGGGTGGCTGGGCTCCTTCCCTGAGGGGCAGCTGAGCCAGCGAGCTGCGCCAGGCAGGGAGAGGCAGAGGCCAGAGGAACAGCTGGAAGCTGTAGGGAGGGGCCGCTGCTTTCTGGGAGGGAGGGGCTGCCCGCGGGAGGCATGACTTGACCAGTTCCAGGGTTGTGCCCCCCAGGCAGCATGCACAGGTCATCTCTGGTTTGAAACCTCTGTGCTAAATGGAAGGCAGAAATCGGGGGGGGGGGGTGAGGGGGGGGGGCAGATGACACGTGACTCTTCATGTCCCCCCCCATTACCTCTAGGGATGCAAATATGCTTGCTCGCCCCGGGCGTTAAAATGAGCCCCGGTATATTTTTCATTTCAAATTAAGCACTGAGGAACTCCTGGGATCTGTGGCCCTTCCCTTTCCCCCACTCCCTCTGGGAGCTCAAATGGAGCCATGCCGGGCACCCAGCTTCCCCAGCCCCTAGCTGGCAGCTGCCTCCCCCCTTCCCACCCCACACTCACCTGTTCTCCATGATCTGCTGCTGGATCATCTTCACGTATTCGAAGCTCTCGGGGTTGCAGATATCATACACCAGCACGTAGGCATTGGTGTTCCTCAGCCCATGGCACTTCACGTCCAACCACTCCTGGGGGAGGGAGAGTGCAGGCTGCTTGGGGGAGGGGGGGCAGGAGAGCCATCCCATCAGCCTCCACCCCACCACTGGAGGTCCTGCCTGCAAAGGCAACTGTGGGGCAGGGAGGCTTCAACAAGCAAAGGGGAGGAGACCAAGATCTCCTCAGCTCTCAGAAAGGACGGCTGAGGGTTGTGGGCAGTGTGGGAGCCCAGGATTGCTTAGACCCTCTCACCCATCAGTGTCGGGGGCCGTTGGGAAGGGGGTGGGTGTTGCTTGGAGACTGAATGGCCCAGGGCAGGGGGATGGTCCCAGGCTGCGATTCATGGGGGTGGGGCGGGGGAACCATTAGCCACTCCCTTATTGACTCATGAGAGTGTCCCAGTCCCTGCCCTAGGCTCCCCTCCCTACTCTGTCACAGCAGCACGTGCATGCAAACCCCACACCTACCTGCATGTTTGGGACATCTGCCCAACCACTGAGCTGCTCTCAGGAGTTGCTATCAGAGCTGGCTGGAAAGGGGAAGTCCTGTTTTCTGGGAAATTCTGGGGTGTCGATGTTTCATTTCCTATTGGAACAACATGTCAACATCCCAGAAATTCCAGTGGCCACAATGCTCGGGAACTGGGCAACAGGGCTGGCAACCAGGCCACCCATGGAGCTGGTCAGGCCGTCCACCCATCAGCCAGCCAGCCAGGACACCTGATCAACCGACCTGCCTGCCTGGCTTCCCAACGTTTCGATGGAATCAGCACATTCCCATGGAACGTTTGTCACGTGAGCTGTTTCCAGCAAACACTGTTCGGTCTGAAAAACGTCACCCTGCTTTATTGTTAGATAAGAGTTTTCTGCCCTCAGGGATGTGTTCAGCCAATGAAAGTTTGTTCTGATGATGTAATGATTTTGGCTCCAGGCCTCAACTGGTATAAATCAGCATTGAATCACACCAGCTGGGGGCCTGTCCCCACTGACTCCGATGGAGCAGCACTGATTTACAGCCGCTGAGTTTGCCAGAGGGGGTGTGTCAGGGGCGCGTGGCAGGAGTTAGGATGTTCCTTTTCAGTTTGCTCATGTTGTTGGCTTTAGCTGTTAATAAAAACCTCACTTTGTGAATCTAACTCTGCACCCTTGAACAGGGCGGCTCCAAATGCAATCCTGGCCGACATGCCACAGCAGCTGAGTTCAATTGGTTTTTTTCTTGCCCAGAAACACGCCCATGTGCTAAGAGGTGGCCATGTGCAGCCACGCAAACCCCACCCCCAGGAGCAGCAGATGGTCTAAGCTGCTCCAGTAAGAGGCACTACCAACTGTGACGTATCGGGTTCTTCAGAGAGAATATTCTCCCTGATGGTGGCTTAGAAGGTAGGAAATCAACTCAAACTCAATTAGAGGCTCCTTGAAGATCAGGGGAAGAGATGAGAAATGCACATCTACTTTCAAACCAGTGCTTTTAATCAGAAATTTCATTGGATGGATGAAGACTCAGCATGATGTTGCCTTTAATTCTTTCAACGATCATGACCAGGGCTGTCCGTGCTGCCCAGGAAAGTGTGTTATGGGGCACAGACTGCTTGGAACTCACTTGGCCTAGCTTGCCTGTCCTTCTTGACTTTGGGAAACAATTCAAAGGGCATTGCAACCATAGAAATGGATTCAGCTGGGCCCTGGAGAACATCTCCCTAAGCATGGCCCAGCCTATCACCACGGAGAAAGGATGGGAAACCAGAATGCAGAACAAAACTCAGCTTCCCAAAAGAGCAGTGGGATGAGCCATGGAAGTAGAAGCTGGGAAGTGTCATATGGGTTATTAAGTCTAACCTTCTGCAATCAGTGATGCTTCTCCTCTCTGCAGGCATTCTCAGCCTGAGGGGCATGACCCACAGAGGGTTGCAAAAGGTTGAGAGCCATTGCCCTGGGGGCATTAACCTGTCTCTTCAAGAGCATTTCTCATGATGGGGTAAGGAGGAGGCTACTAAATGGGTGACCTCATGAGGAAGAGATTGACCCTTTAAATAAACCTAGAGCGAGGAAGGGAGCAAAGGACCAGCATCGAGCCGAGCAGGGTCTAGTCACTGCTGCCAAATGAGCCACATAGGCCTGAAGCCTGTCCCCTCGTGGTGGGAGCCCTTTCCACTCACCTCCAAGGTGAAGGGCCCTGGGACTAGCAGAGAGCAGAAGGCCTTACACTCCTGTGTAAGGGGCCTTTCACCTCTGGGTCGGTGTGGTGAGGGGTTTTGGGGGCAGCAGAATCATGGGGGGGCTCCTGCCCCTCTCCAATCTCCCTTCATCACAAGGGGCAGCTAGCCACTGCTTATCGACATTGCTGCCCCCATGGCCCCTTGCCAAGCCAAGTTAAGCTCGGATGCCTGGACACCCGGTTTCCATCCATTCTTGATGGTTAGGCCAGTCTCTGCCTTCTAAGGAAATACGCAAGAGTGGGGGCATACAGGCCCTATTCTCCTAGCTGCCAAATGGCCCCCAAAGCCTGAAAACAGTGACAATGACTGTGACAATGAAAGGAAATGTGAGTCGTCATTTGAGTTCGGCGTGTGCAATGAAGCCTGCAGGGAGAGGCCCGAGCCCCTTCCGAGTCCGACCCTCCTCTTCCCAGACAGCTCCCCGCAGAAGGCACAGAGCAGATGGCTGATACATACACATCTCTGGTTTGCAGCTAATTCAGGCTTTTGCTTCCCCCAGGTGCCTAATGCCAGGGTAACCGTCTGTTCCTTGAAACCCGGTAATAACTTTCTCTGTGCATAGCTGGAATTGTGAGGCTGCATCTAGAAGTGACCTGAAGTGAAGTGACCCGCCCCAGCTCCCATTTCATCAGCCAGCTCTCTTCTTGCCGCCCCGGCAAGCAGCCCAACCCTGGTCCCTTCGACACCTCCCCTGGCTTCTGTGGAACGACAATGTTGCCTGTTGCATTTTCTTAACCCAAGAGTCTCTGAATACTTTACAGACTAGGCCCAGGAATCACAACAGCCCCTACTGAAATGCAGCCGCCTGGTGGGTGGATCATGACAGCTGGTTAATTAACACAGCACTATCACAACCAGTTTAGGACAGGAAGTGTAGAAGAATCCTGTATCCAATGAAACTGCAGGTGGCTTTCAGAGAGGCAGAGTGTAGACAGCCCAGGACGTCAGGATTAACAGGCCAGCTCCTAGAGAAAGAACTAGGGGATCTGTAGTGACCACAAGCAGCCAGGGGCTCAGTTCTACATCTCATCCATCTGTTGCTTCCACAGCAGCCCCTGTGCCCAGCTGGTTCCAGACCAGCTGAGAGGTGAGAGCGCCATCTACTGATGTACCAGCACCACTGTGAGGTCTCCCATTCAGGTACTGAAGAGACACAGCTTGGCCTTGGAGTTCAGACAGGTATATGCTGGTCCTTGCACCCAGCGGGGCATAACCCACCTCCCATCCTGCACCCTCAGAAGAAGCTATGCAAGGCAAACTCCAGCTTGCTTTTGTGCATTGACATTCACTGCAGCAAATACCTGGAGAAAACAAGTATATATTTTAATAAACTTGGTGGTAAAGCAAATCCCTCTGCCATATGCCATGGTGCTTCTATTTGTGGAGAAGCCTTTTTAGTGAAGGATCAGACAAGGACTCAAATTTTGCTGAAAGGAGTTATAATAATAAAGCAGCTCCTCGGGGAATGGGGAAAGCCTCCCGTTAATCATGAAACATGCTCCAGCCCCGGTGGGAGCAGGAAAATACCCTCCTATGCCCCAGATGCAAAGAAGAGAGTTATTTTCCCTGCATGTCCATAATGAAGCAATAATCCTGCTGAGGGGGGCTAGCAATAAGAATGGAGCTGGAATGGTTTGTTCATCTCACAGGCACCTGGAAGACAGAATGATAGCCCCATGCAGACCATTTTAGTGCATTGTTTTTCCCCACCAGGGCCTGGTAATAAGTAAGGCCTTTATGTCTATTAACGTGGTGGCTCCCCTTCCCCCATTCCTGCTGACCAGCCCTTCATTCCCCCCCAACTCTGCTCTGGCTCTGCGGCTGGTGCCCAGCAGTGGGTTTTTCTAGCCTACTTACTCACTAGGCATGATGGATTCTCACACTGATTTCCAATTTTAAAAACAAACACCACCACCACTAAAACTCACAGCCAAAGGGGAGGTCCCCTCCCCCCACCATTGGTTTGGGAGGGGTCAAAGCAGCTGCCGAGCCAGGGAAGCCTGACTGAGATGTACAGTCAGTCGAGACTGAGTCAGTTAAGGGGTTTCTTATGATCATAGAATCATAGAATATCAGGGTTGGAAGGGACCTCAGGAGATCTAGTCCAACCCCCTGCTCAAAGCAGGACCAATCCTCAACTAAATCATCCCAGCCAGGGCTTTGTCAAGCTTGATCTTAAAAACCTCTAAGGAAGGAGATTCCACCACCTCCCTAGGTAACATATTACAGTGCTTCACCACCCTCCTAGTGAAAAAGTTTTTCCTAATATCTAACCTAAACCTCCCCTACTACAACTTGAGACCATTACTCCGTGCTCTGTCATCTGCTACCACAGAAAAGTCCAGATCCATCCTCTTTGGAACCCCCTTTCAGGTAGTTGAAAGCAGCTATCAAATCCTCCCTCATTCTTCTCTTCTGCAGACTAAACAATCCCAGTTCCCTCAGCCTGTCCTCATAAGTCACGTGTTCCAGTCCCCTAATCATTTTTGTTGCCCTCCGCTGGATGCTTTCCAATTTTTCCACATCCTTCTTGTAGTGTGGGGCCCAAAACTGGACACAGTACTCCAGATGAGGCCTCACCAATGTCGAATAGAGGAGAACGATCACGTCCTTCGATCTGCTGGCAATGCCCCTTCTTATACAGCCCAAAATGCCATTGGCCTTCTTGGCAACAAGGGCACACTGTTGACTCCTATCCAGCTTCTCGTCCACTGTAACCCCTAGGTCCTTTTCTGCACAACTGCTGCCGAGCCATTCAGTCCCTAGTCTGTAGCAGTGAATGGGATTCTTCCGTCCTAAGTGCAGGACTCTGCACTTGTCCTTGTTGAACCTCATCAGATTTCTTTTGGCCCAATCCTCTAATTTGTCTAGGTCCCTCTGTATCCTATCCCTTCCCTCCAGCATATCTACCTCTCCTCCCAGTTTAGTGTCATCTGCAAACTTGCTGAGGCTACAATCCACGCCATCCTCCAGATCATTAATGAAGATATTGAACAAAATCAGCCTCAAGACCGACCCTTGGGGCACTCCGCTTGATACTGACTGCCAACTAGACATGGAGCCATTGATCACTACCCGTTGAGCCCGATGATCTAGCCAGCTTTCTATCCACCTTATAATCCATTCATCGAGCCCATACTTTAACTTGCTGACAAGAATACTGTGGGAGACCGTGTCAAAAGCTTTGCTAAAGTCAAGAAATAACACGTCCACTGCTTTCCCCTCATCCACAGAGCCAGTTATCTCATCATAGAAGACAATTAGGTTAGTCAGGCATGACTTGCCCTTGGCGAATCCATGCTGACTGTTCCTGATCACTTTCCTCTCCTCTAAGTGCTTCAAAATTGATTCCTTGAGAACCTGCTCCATGATTTTTCCAGGGACTGAGGTGAGGCTGACTGGCCTGTAGTTCCCAGGATCCTCCTCCTCCTCTTTTTTAAAGATGGGCACTACATTAGCCTTTTTCCAGTCATCCGGGACCTTCCCCGATCGTCCTGAGTTTTCAAAGATAATGGCCAATGGCTCT